TTTTAGCAATAAAAAAATCGTGCGGAAAAGTAACTTTTCAGCACGATTTTACTTTTCCGCAAGATTTTACTTTTCCGCGCGATTTTTTTATACACAAAAAAATAATGGAACCGGATTTTTTATCATGATCCTTGGCCTATAACTAAATTGGCCAAAAAAATTGTTAGGATTCCCTACCTTCGCGGGGCTATGCCACCCAAAATAGGGGGCCCTGCAGGGCTGTGCCCCCAAATAAGGGGCTCCGCCCCCCAAATAAAGGGCTTCGCCCCACCCAGAAAGGAGCACCCAGGGCTTCGCCCCCCAAAAAGGGGCCCCGCGGGACTGTGCCCCTCAAAAATGGGGCCCTCGCGGGATATGCCCCCAAATAGGGGGCCACCGCGGGGCTCCGCCCTCCAAATAGGGGGCCACCGAACTTTAATATGGGTACACTTTTCAGTAAAAGTAAAAATCGTGCGGAAAAGTAAAAAAATAGTGCGGAAAAGTAAAATCGTGCGGAAAAGTACAACTTTCAAAACGAAAAATCGTGCGGAAAAGTTACTTTTCCGCACGCTCGTAGGAAAAATAAATTACCTACCACTTGTTGGATATCTTTGCAATTCTGCTTCAAAATATACACAAGTAAAAGAAGACTGCGAGATGTACAGGGTCATCCAAAGACGACTGAACACTGAACAGGAGCTTATTTTTGACCTTCCTTGTTCCTGTAGTTTTGAAAAAATTTAAATTAGCCAATTGGCATATTTTTTAGTGGATAATTCAAAAATGGTATCAAAAAATCATTTGAACTAAAAACGGAAGAGTTACGCCATGGATGAACTGTTTTTCAAATGGAACACCCTGTTCATTATATCGGGTCTTCAAAAAAAAAACCAATCAAAGATTGCTTTGGTTACGTAAACGTACGTCGCATTATTGTTTCATTATTGGTCAGGATTTTTGACATGACATTTTGACATTAAATTTCATTGACTGACATTGTCAAAATTAAAGAAAAATATTGCTAAGACGTAAGTTTAAAAAACCATAGCAATCTTTGATTGGTTTTTTTTTTTTGAAGACCCGATATAATTTCTGGAAAAAACGCATTTTTAATGTCTATTCCTTGGAACATATTTGATGTTCCGATAGCTATTTCTATTTAATTTTAATGTTTTATCCTTAATAATTTTAAGCTTCACTTGATCAATACATACACAATACTGTGATGGCGACAAAATATGTCAAATTTCTTTCGACTTTGAACAAAAGGTGATTATACCTCTATCGCCTATGAATCTAATAAATTGAGAAGGAAAAGCTAAAATTATTAAGCAAAAAACATTAAAATAAAATAAAAACAGCGGCATATCAAATATTTTCAATAGAATAGACGTAAAAAATGCGACTTTTCCAAAAATCATACAAAAACCTATCACCCATGGCGTAACTCTTTGGTTTTTGGTTCAAATGATTTGTTTGTACTATTTTTGAATTCTCCAGGAAAAAATTTGCCCATTGGCTATTTAAATTTTTTTCAAAACTACAGGAACAGGGGGGGTTTATTTGAAACGTGCAATTCAAATACGTCTGACTAAGTCGCAATTTTTACCGGTGAAATACAAAAAAATGCACATGTGGCTTATTTGAAACTTTCGTCGAAGCATTTCGCTAAATTCGTCGACGCAAGATTGCATTTGACATGCGTCACCTCTAGAGCTCGTGCATTCCAGATTGCACGTGAAGGTTTATTAAAAATTTCAGTTTAGCCGACCAAGAATATTCTTGGCCTCATGGAATTCGAAAAAATTGTTAATTTAAATGCTCTAGAAAGGGCCGAATTGTATAACCATAACCGCAAAGGCTTCAGAAATCCAAGAATAGATGCATGCATTAACAATGCTTATAGGTAATGACGGGGAATTTATAAAAAACTTTCGACTTTCAAAAGAATGTTTCGAGATTCCTTCTATGAAAAGCAGTTCGAAAATTTTCCCGACAAAAGGGAGATTGGAGATTTGTGCAAAAATTCGACCAAGAGTTATTTTTGTTTTTTGGTAACAAATCCAGACCTTCTCTTATTGGCACTTGCCCCCGCACTTTCCATATCCTTTTTGTGGTATTTCCTACACTTATAGAAAGAATAAACTAAGACAATATCAAAAAAAAAAAAACTCCAACTAAACACGAAACTGTATGCACGGAAATAATCAAAAAAGTTGTTTACGTTAAACAATTTCAAATTTGACATTTCAATGCATCGTTCCGTTTGGTCATATCAAATTTTCTAACAATGTCATTGGTTTAAATTTTTTACAGGACACGTTGCCAAGTTGAGTAATGCAAATTTGAAAATTCACGATTTACAAAATGCACAAGCTTTCAAATAAACCGATCGTGAATTTTCAGAATTCGTGGACGCACATATTTCGACCGACTGACAGCAGTATTCACCATACCGTAACAGACTGTTAAATTGCTTAACTGGTCAGCTGAATCATATCCGGTATTCACCATTGATAAATACTACCTAACAGCCTGTTGAAATCTCTGATAAGTTAACAGTCGAATTTTGGCCTGGTAAACCGTTAACTGTTTGTTAAAATGAAATGAGGTTAGGTTTTGCGCTATAGGGCATGTCCATGTGACGTCACAAATGAGTTTGACAATCGCCCTGAGGTAAAACAAATCATTTATTTACATTGGTTTAGATTAGGCCGGTTATGTTTTATGCGGTTTTCACAGCTTTTTTGCAAGTTTTTGTGTTATTTTCTTTTAAAAAGTTAAAGTAAAGTGTTTATGTTCCAGTCTATGTGGTCTTTCATCCAGAAGTTTGCTAGGTTTTTCTATAATGGATTAAATTCAGGGTTTTTCCAACAAAAATCAAAACCAAGTGTCACAAGAATAAATATATAAGTATAATTACTCTATAATTCAATCTATTTTTCTGTCAGATCTTCTCTTTTAACAACATTATTCAATTTTTCTCTTCTTTCTTGAGCTAACAAATCAAACCTCCCATTGTTATTTAAAATTGATGGAAACCAATGGAAGGATATTGTATCCCTTGCGCTATACTGCCATAATTAACAACTAAACAAACTCTAGGCATGTCCAAGAAACTTCTGGACCACGCAAAAGGTATTTGATTAAAAAAATCTAACTAAAAACCTAAAAAACCACTGTAAATATATCTTTGTTTTACCTCAAGGCGACTGTCAATAGTGTCAAACTGTCAGATCGTGTACTTGCCCTATTGTTTGTTTAGTTCTCATTTTTCATTTTAAGGATTGCCTAGGCGATTACAATTTAAGAATTATTGAAATATATTATAATTTATAATAGAAAGGATCGATCGAGTTGATCTAATTGATTTTATGGAGTCTTCAGAGTCATCAGACAGTGAAGCCACCGTACTTGTGGAACCCATTAACGACAGAAATCAACCAATTTAAAAAGTTAACCAAATTTTAATCTGCCTGAGATTTTATGCAACAGGATCATTCCAAATAAACGTTGGAGATCATTTTAATGTCTCCCAACCAACTGTGTCCAGAATAATTCCTCGAATCACAAGACACATTGCTGCTCTAGGGGCACAGTTTATTAAAATGCCAGAAACAGAGGAACAAAAAAGGGAAACAATTCTGAAATTTTTTAATCTGGCAAGGCTACCTGGAATCATAGGTACATACTTACAAATATTTAATTATTGAACATTAGCTTCGATGCTGCAGTAATCAGTAATCACAAACGAGCCAGTACCTGCTTATCTCACTTTTTTTATGCATGTATATGCCAGGCGATAATTGGTATTTTTGTGATTGCTGCATACATCAAAAAATTTTAATGTGCGTTTTGTTTGTTTGATAATAATTTCTTTTTTAGGGGCAGTCGATTGTACCCACATAAAGATTCAGTCACCTGGAGGGCACAACGCTGAAGTATATCGAAACAGAAAAAACTATTTCAGTATCAACACACAGGTGGTAGGGAACGTTGATTTGAAAATAATGGACATAGTTGCTCGTTGGCCGGGTTCAGTTCATGACACTACAATTTTTAATGACTCCAACATCAGAGCTCGCTTTGAAAATAATGAATTTTCCCCCTATTGCCTGGTTGGAGATGGAGGATATCCATGCAAAATGTATTTAATAACACCTATTCTAAATCCTCAAACGTTAGGTACCACATCAGCGGTATAATAATGCTCAAATAAAAACAAGAAACCCAGTGGAGAGACTATTTGGGGTTTGGAAAAGACGATTTCCTTGCCTTTCACAAGGAATGAGGCTTAAAATTGAAACTGTTTGTGAGATTATTGTGGCAACTGCTGTATTACACAATATGTGTCTTGAGGAAGAGGATACTATTGAAATATTTGAAGATGATCCTAGAGGAATGGAGGAAATTCAAAACCTTCAAGTGATTGGACATCAAAATACCGCTACCAGGGATTCAATAAATTCAAACACTTAAAACTTTGACTGCAAGCAAAATGTTTTATTTCAGTATTTAATATACTTTTTGCATTAAAAAATGGCATTTATGATACAAAAACTTAAGTACTTTTTCACAATTATTTATATCTAAAAAAAATTAACATTAACAATCTTTTTAAGAGCTATGTAACTCATTTTTTTTTCAGTTCAAGATTAATTTTCTCCTTCTCTTTAATCAGTTCCTTAATCTCGTTGTCTAATTTTGCTCCTTTCAAATGTTCCAACTCGGTTTCTGCCATTGTCTTCAAGACATTCAATATTAAATTATAAACTTCTATTTTTTTTTTTGTTTAGCTCAATTATTTTACTTTCTTTATTTTGCTTATTTTGTATGTTTTCTTTTTTGCAAGAAAGAGTCTTGGGTACGAGAATCATTTTTTCTTTTTTTAGGCCCAGCCAAGGGCCCAGCCAATAAACTGATACTAGGTTCAGGTTCACTATATTTTTGCTGATGTTCAATAGCAATTTCTCCCAACTCTCCCTCGATTATATTAGGTCTGTTTCTGCAGAAATCACAAACCATTCAGAACGGATTTCATTGGTTGAAAACAGTCAGAAAAACCAGTTGCATCCAATGAAATTCACTCTGACTAGTCTGTGATTTCTGCAGAAACAAACCTATTATTTCATGCCACATTGCTATTCAATGCTTCATCATCTTCAATCTGTGTAAGGTCTTCATCCATTTCTTCAGATTGTTCATCTTGATACACAATATATATATTTTCCTTATTTATGTCTGCACTGGTAGAGGGACTTGTGATAAAATCCAATTTCATTAGTTTTTTTTGCTCAGGTTCTTTTGATGTCGCAGACTTGCTGCTATCATATTCATTGGCGATAGTGAAGTAATTATCTTTCAAGAGCATTAAAATCTTTTCATCCAATATAGTGGTCTTGGGAATGAATGTCCCACCACCGGTTTTTAATAGATCTACCTAGAATTCAAAACAAGAGGTTTATGTTGTTCTAATTCTTTATCGTGAAAGTCAAATACCTTGTCCTCTGATTTGTGTTGTTTTGCAATCTTTTTCATTTCTTCGTAACAGCATTTTAATTGTTGTCCTGTTCTTGATCCAGTTGTTTGGATGGAGTTATATTCCCATGCCAATTTCTCCTAACAATCATTTTTTTGTTTGTTGAACACAGAGTTTGTTTTTTTATTCTCAATCACATTAAGATACTTTTCAACTAAGGAAATCAATAATTCTTTTTCCCTCTGCGTATAGTTCGCAGATTTCTTTTTCTCCATTTTATAGTTTATACTTATACCACAGCATATACTTAATTTGTGATATTTCCTTCTTGAATTTAAAAATAAAATTCAAAAGAAAAATAAACAATACAATTTTGAGGTTAGAGTGACTCTGCTCAAGCAATTATACCAACCTAAATTTCTAAACATTTTGATTTAACAGTAGGTTTGTAATCAAACTGCATAATATCTTCGGTGAATACCGACATTTCATAACAGTCTGTTAAGTTTTAACGGTCTGATAGTTAACAGTCAGTCAAATCTCCCAATGGTGAATACGGCTGTGACTCGCATGTGAAAGATTTACACGGATTTTAAATAAATCCCCCTAGAGGTGACGTATGTCAAATGCAATTTTGCGTCTACGAATTTAGCGAAATACGTCGACGAAAGTTTCAAATAAGCCACATGTGCATTTTTTTGAATTGCATCGCTAAAAAATGCGACTTAGTCAGACGTGTTTGAAATGCACGTTTCAAATAAACCGCCCCCCCCCCCCTGGGAGAGTCAAAAATAAGCCCCTGTTCAGTGTTCAGTCGTCGTTGGATGACCCTGTACATCTCGCAATCTTCTTTTACTTGTGTATATTTTGGAGCAGAATTGCAAAAATATCCAACAAGTGGTAGGTAATTTATTTTGAGTGCTTGAGAAGAAAGCTTTACGTAAAATCAATAAGAATTATTGTGAAATGACTTGAAATTGTGATATTTTCAATATAACTTTGCATTGGGGGATGGCAGGCGAGTTAGGCACCACTCTAGCTGCCGGCAAGATGTACTTTCCCATTATTTGGGATCACAGGAATACGAATTTGAGCATTTGTGCCGGTCCTCACATTTTACATACTCATATCCGTCTAACTCCCTGTCTGCTCTGAAAACTTTGTATGTGTGTTTAGTTAAATCTCAAGTGGAGAATATTACTTGTGTATGATCACCATACTATCAATATCCTAGAGATAGACTAGAAAGAGTGCACCGCAAATTTTTGTTTCACATTAGATTTAGATTGGGACTTGATGTTGAAACGTGTCTGATGGTCAAAGGTATTCGTACTCCTCCTAGATCACATAGAGTTAATACATTTAATATCGAAAACCATTGCACCAATTATGGTCAGTTCTCATCCATAAATAGAACGATGTCTCATGCTAATGAATTGAGAATTGACTTGTTCAACTCCTCCTTGTACTTCCTTAGGGTAGCGTTTAATTAATTAGATTGATTAGAGACCTAACCTTTTACATATGTCATGGCTATTTGCACGGCTATAACTTAGGGGATGCTTGAGCTTGGTGGAGCTTTGAATGTGACTTTTATTTCTTCAAGAGTAACATTTAAAGCTGCACTCAGATTAAATATTCCTTAAGTTATAGCCGTGCAAATAGCTGTCAGTGATTTAAGTGGTCCATGGTTGTTTTTATGATTGGTGTATACTTTGTATTTTATAACTCTTTTGTCATTTATATAATATGTATTGTGTATTTGATCTTTTAAAAAAAAAATTAACATTTTATTCTTAATGAAGAATGAAAAAGTTTGTATTTCGTGCAAAATTCTTTAATAAATATCAGTGCAAAGCGCTTTCGGCCGTGGCCATCATCAGTGCAACCTGAAAGTAAGGAAAAACACTTTCTGAAGATACTGGAAAAATTTATGAAAGTTTGGAAATTTTGGAAAATTTGAAATTTTTTGAAATTTTTGAAAATTATCTGAAAAATCTTGGAAAATTTAATCTAAATTAATTTAAAATATTCAAAAAGAAAGAAATTAATTACTAAAGAAAGTAGATTTACTCACTTCGTCAGGTTTGTACAAAGAGTATGCAATACACCCTAAGATCTCATTCACTCTCGAGATTGAACACAATAACTCAATCAACTTCTTAGACATTACAATTCACAAAAAACATTTCAATCAACTCAATCTTTCAATATTTAGAAAACCGACACAAACTGATCACACCATCCCTGAAAGTTCTAACCACCCTCGACAACATAAACTGGCAGCTTTCCATTGCTACATTAACAGATTACTAAGCATACCCCTCTCAAAGAAGACTATTCCAACGAAGTTAAAATTCTCAAACAACTAGCATATAATAACGAATACGACCCAAACTTAATTGACACCCTCATAACAAAAACTAAATATAAAAGATTGAAAAAAGAGTTATTTCCTACCCTGAATAAGCCAATAGAGAAATATACTGCTATTCCTTTCTTGAATCATGATTTGAATCTTAAAATTCTACAGGTCTTTCACCAAAATGTCAACAACAACATCAGAATCACTTTCAAATCCAAAAATAACCTGTCTTCCTTTCTGGTCAACTCCAAAGACAAAATTGACCACCTGTCCAAGAGTGGAATATATAAATTAAACTGCAACTCCTGCAATTGCACTTACATTGGGCGAACTTGCAGACCTCTCAAGATTCGAATACAGGAACATCTTACTAAAACTACCTCTGCCTTTGGTGAACACATTAGGACAACTAAACATAATTTCAGCCCCAGGTCAAATTCGAAAATTCTTCACGAAATTCGCTCTAAAAACTTCAACCGTTTGGATTTTATGGAGGACATTGAAATCAGAAACGAACTTCAGGACAACTTCTCTTGTCTCAACACTCAGGTGAACCTTAATAGATCTTACATCCCATTACACAGACGTCTTTTGAATTAAATCAAAAAAACCAATAGAGGATCTTAATTAAATCAATTTATTCAATTATTTTACATAAAATTTTCGCCTATTTCAACTTAAACTCATATATCCTATTTCCACTCTATGATGATATAAGGGTAGTCTACACATTGTGGACGACTAGCTCGTCATCTACACCACAGGTCACACCACTTAGCTATGTTGTTTTTCACTATAAACATCTTAATTCTCCAAATATTGATTTTAAAAAACGTTGGTAATGGTTTTGGATTTTATAAACTTTTATTTTTCGAACTTCCCGCTCTTGTCAGCTACACTGACTTACTTGTCATGTGTCACTCTAAAGGAAACCACAATTAAAAACGTGCAACCAATGAACTATAACCAAAAACTGGAATGCTAACACATAAGGACGAACGTGAAGCCTAGTGCGGCTGCTGCGGAGGGGATACCTGTTTTTGTCGCACTCATTATGTTTAATGGCGAAAATTGCTTCCAACACGTATTCCAATTGATGAAACCTGTGAAGGGAAATATGACAAAACTTTCGAAAACGTCATATGACAGCGAGCAACAGAAAAAAACAACATTCCCCTTTGTGGCATCTGTCTTTCATGGCTACATTTTTTTGGCAGATATGGCAATGTGTGCGCATTCCAGTTTTTAGCTATAGTTCATTGCGTGCAACCATACACAAAATGGCTGCACATCATTCATCACCATGTTGGTCTTCCACACAAAATTTAAAGAAATTTTAATTTAAACTTAAAAAACATCTTTCGATGTGATTGTAATTTGAAGGGACACAGCCTTTGCATAGAGTACCAGTAAAAACCAAAGATCTTCCGATATTTTAAAGTGTTAATTTTTAATTTGTAATGTGATGTTTTCGTTCCTTTACACCTATATGTTCAATGAGAAGACTCTTTGTACAAACCTGACGAAGTTCAAGTGAGTAAATCTACTTTCTTTAGTAATTAATTTCTTTCTTTTTGAATATTTTAAATTAATTTAGATTAAATTTTCCAAGATTTTTCAGATAATTTTCAAAAATTTCAAAAAATTTCAAATTTGCCAAAATTTCCAAACTTTCATAAATTTTTCCAGTATCTTCAGAAAGTGTTTTTCCTTACTTTCAGGTTGCACTGATGATAGCCACGGCCGAAAGCGCTTTGCACTGATATTTATTAAAGAATTTTGCACGAAATACAAACTTTTTCATTCTTCATTACTCCTCAACGTGCACACAGCTCTACACCCTCTATTTTATTCTTAGACTAGATCATTATTTGTGTGAAATTGTCTTTTTGTGAAATTGGGACATTTTCGTTTATAAATAAAATACCTATATAAATAACTAAGGTATTTAGCAGGGGTATATAAAAGTTGATTTATCAATAGAAAAATGAAGCTCCTAGGTATATATTCACTCCAGAAAATTATTTATGAGAATTTTTAATATTCTTTATTTAGGTCACTAGCTTCTCGATACCAAGCCAAGCGCCTGGGCTGGGTGACAACCACAAAAATAGGCTTGGCAATTTTGGGGAAAATAAATTGAATTATTCATAGCGAAAAAAATCAATTACGTTTTATACATCTTCGTATCAGAAATAAACTTTTCCAAGTTATTAGATTTATGCATTTTATAAACGATGAATATATTTTATCTTTGAATTTGTTAATTTCACGACGAGAAGCGAGAACTTCACATCTAGCAAATAGTGTCACTAATTCACCGAGGCTAAAAGGTACTTGAAAATTGCGCTACGATGATAAAATTGCTTACGTGAGTAGTACAGCAACAGGGATTCAAGGACCAAAATCCGACCATAACCTCAATCTTCCATTCTTGACACGTGGTGGATGCGCCGTCGTTGACACGAAGGTGGATGCGTCGTCGGCGCCATCTTGTCAAACATCATGGCGCCATCTGTCGTTATTGCGGTGAATTCTTGCAATTACAGATTCCTGTAATATGGAGTTTGCGTGGAAGGGATTGTTCCGAGTCGTTTCGAAATCGCTACGTATAGTTAATTATGGTTCGGGGAATTACAGGTTCCTGTAATATGGAGTGTGCGTGGAAGGGATTGTTCCGAGTCGTTTCGAAATCGCTACGTATAGTTAATTCTGGTTCAGGTAATTACAGGTTCCTGTAATATGGAGTGTGCGTGGAAGGGATTGTTCCGAGTCGTTTCGAAATCGCTACGTATATTAAATTATGGTTCTGTGATGACGTCATAGCGACCTGGGTCACGTCCATTTTTGCATCAAACGCCTATCATTTCGTAAACACGCGTTATATCATTTTTTACTTATATGGTCACA